TTCGATTCACCAAGAGCTCGATCTTCTCCTTCACACTTCAAACAGGGCAGCCTCCGAGCTGTCAATCTGGCCTGTCTCTCAAGGATCTTGTCAATGCTCTCCATGAGGTGATCATTGATGTGCTGCACCTGAGAAGAAAACGCTTACCTGCCGTGTTGCAGACCTACAGCTCCTGGCTGTTCACTCCCAACTTCCACGGTTTAACCCACATATATCAAAGAATACTGCAACAGCACGCTCATGGCTTGTTGGCGCAAGTGCGAGAAACAATTCAATGCGTGCGTGAGGCGCTTGCATGACGAAATCCGGCCTTGGCAGTGAGGGAGGCAACGCGGTCGTGGTCGGGGGCATTAAAGCGCTCCATGAGGCCCTGAAGCTCCTCCCTCGGGAAATGTTGGAGAGCTTAGAAGAGAGCAAAACGTAGGAGTTCGAATGTGGAAGTGTCTCACGTCGCCTAAAATCTGTCTGCATACCGTAGGCAATAGCACTTTCCACCTGCTCATTGCTATAGCTCTGCGCGAAGGCCTCCTAGGCAACCCAATCCAAGGCACACCAGGCACACCCACTGCTCACACACCCAGCCGGGCCTGCACAGCATTCAAGAAGCTGAAGGGCACTCTGCGGCCCAGCTGCCGATCTGCCATGCACACAAACCTGGTCTCGTCTTTGACTGTCATATCCTGCCTGGTCAACCCAAGCTACGACTCAACACAACACCAATGCCACGTCAGCTCCAAACCGTTGGAGTCACCCCCAACACGCTCGCCATTTGCTCTGAGCAGCCACAAGCCGGATACTTGATCCACTATGTAGTGAAAGGCATACTCACCTCAGTTGAAAGCGCCATCAGCTCTCCGGTCTCACGTCACCTCTCAAGTGCTGGAACTACCCAAGCATTGCTACAGGAAGGGAAGCAAAGCGTGCGCGCCCGGAGCCCGATCTGTCCAAGCTTCACAGGCGCCAGATGTTTCAGACGAAGAATCTTGGGATCGCACGCGCGCGCGCGCGTCAAGCTATCGAACCACAACACGCTTGCTTGAGCAACGCAAACAAGATGGATTGAGACTACAGTCGTCTTGGTCTCCCGCCCTGATTGCCAAGACTCTGTGCCTCTCAAACCAATCGAGACGATGGCAGTTCACAATGCGTGTTCAGCGATGGCCTGTTGCCTGGTAGCTATAGGTCTGCCCTCTCGATTCGCATTGATGAGAGCTGCAGCTTCGTGTTCCTGGAATCTAGTCCTATATCTAGACTTTATAATTTAATTTATAATCCTTACGGTGTTGCGGTCGTCCTTCTAGCGGGCTCCAGGCAAGAAACGTGCCTGCGGCACGCGCCCAGGCTTCCCGACCATAGATGTAACTCTTCCACTCAGGGGAGCTCTCAAGCTTCTGCAGGATCTGAATTGTCGCCTGCGGAGTGCAGACAAAATTAGCAGGTTGGTATCAAGCATCGGCCTGCTGGAAGTTGCCCGCCAGCGCGGTGTACTCTGCCAAAACAACTTTCTGTCCTGGCACGACTGGCATGACTGGCATGACTCCGGAATCCATCTGACTCCTGTCAACTGTTTGAATGCTCCACACCAGCCACACACCATCCTCGTATGACAAGGGCGTAGATGATCTGCCTGCCAAATAAAGCAACAGGAAAGTCCTACGGGCAGGCGTGTCATTGCCGAGACTAGGACTCCAAAGCAAAATGTCCTCTTTTCATGAAGAACTCAAGGACAACGTCTATCATTTGCATCAAATGTTTGGAGGAACGCGTTGACTCGCCGTGCTCGCAGCCGCGACTCGCAAGGGGAAGTCAGACGTGCAGTTCTGGTGCGCCCGCAGCGCACAGGTGCCGCAGGGGGCATCGCGGGGTGGACTTCTGCGCCCGCGGAATCCATGCCGGAAGAAACGTGACTGGTCCGGGAATTCCGCACAAACGGCTCGTGCCACGCAAAGCGTCTCTCGCGACAGGGGTGCAGCCTCCCGAGCGTGGCAAAGTTTTGCGAAGTCAAGCTGCTTCGACGATCGTTACCGTGCTCCGTTGGCACGTCCGTCTAAGGCTGGGCGCACGCACCGCGTTCTTTTGCCCTTTTACAATTTCGGGCAGCTTCTGCAATCGGAACGCAGCTCCTCTCCTAGAGCGCAACTTTCACTATGTATGCTCGAGCGGCGTTCCGGGTCCCATGTAAAATGAACCTGGGAACCCAAATCAACTCAAACCCAACTCAACACACAAAGCGTCAAAAGACGAATGCAGCAGTGAACGCTGGAAAGCACTGAGTCTCTCTCGCTGCAGGTTTGTCGGTTGCTGTACTGAAGTTTGCCAGCAGAACGCGCCGGAAGATGCACGCACGAGGCATCAGAGTCAGGCCACTCGCACAGGCCCAATTGCGCGAGCGAGCCATGCAAAATCGCTAGGCATACCCCAAAGTGCAAACGCGCTCGCAGGCAAGGTTGACAACCAACAGCTTTTCGATTCATGTTGGAACATATAAAATTCCACACAGTCGCTACATCTACTGTAGCCCTTGTTTTGAGCCTTCGTGAAGAATGCGTTGCTGCGCTCACAACGTTTGGATGGCAAGCGCAAAGCGACTCTTGCGCCTGCCTCTCGCGCTCCATGTGAGCCACGCGCCAACCGCGCTGGGGGCGCTGGAGGTGATACGTTTACAGAAAATCGGAACACCTTTCTTTCTTTCGAAGGGGCCTCTGATTTTGCGTTTCGCATGAGTCGAGGTGCGCGTCGCGCATGGAGCTCCAACCTCAAACCACCCAAGCTAACGGGGGCAAACAAGTGAGTAAAGGTGAAGGTGTCCATGCCGTGGCATCTTGAGCCATTTCAAGGCGCTTGCAACTCATGTTTCTCCGTCGCGCCCTTCTAGTCTAACGCCTGACTCGGTCTGCCAAGGATAGCCCCACACCTTCCCCAGAATCCAGTAGGTTGTAAGGCCGGTACGTTTGGCCTCATGCCATCATCTTGCACAAACTTGCCCACGAGCGCTCGAAAAAAACGAACATGTTTACAAACCAATGAACCAAATGATCAGAAATCGCCCGTGGATTAGAGCCGCGGCTTGGGGGTTCTTAGCGTCCCCTACGGGCAGAGGTTCCTTTGGCCACAAAACGACCGCGAAGACGCTGTTGCTGTCTGAGTAACTGTCCGAGTTCTGTGTCGCTGCAAAAGAAATTGATCCGGCGATGGAGCGGACTTGTACATGGGCCTCTGACGCTGCACACGTGACAAAACCACCAGACTCAGGGTTGAGCGCATCTGAACATCGGGCAATAAATATAGATACCAAATTGGCCCTTTGGAAGAGACGAGCGGAGGAGATGTGGGTATCTCTTCCCAACCTCTCGGTATTGAGCAGGGGCTCTACTGGCTTACGAGGAAGTTACCTGAACCTCAAGATACTGTCCCGTCCTACACAACGACGGTGTACTGATACACTGCGTGGCGGAGGAGGCACGGAGCAGGCAGAAAATGACGTCGACCAGAACGAAGCTGAGCCGGAGGCACCTGCGCCAATGCCAAGAAGCTTCAGCTGCGGAAGCGGTACCTACCCTCATGCGGCTGAACGCGGACCTGAGCGGACCCAGGAAGGACGTTGGGGGGATGCGGTCCGAAGTACTTCCTCATCAGCTCCTTCACCTGGCCGGCGGATGAGCTGTTTGATGATAAGGAGAAAGAGGAGGAGGGGGAGGACTTGCCGGTCCTTGGAGGAGAAGAAAGCAGAGAAGGAAATCCTGGCAAGGGAGAAAGGTGGACTGCGAGAAAGGTGACCCGAAATGCAAGAAAGGGGAGCGATACGGCCTGGAAGATTCGGAAGAACGGGCCAGGATCGATTGCGGAGAGCCAAAGCCGAGGAAGCTGATTGTCAAGCTGGGGCTGCAGGACTACATCCAGCTGAAAAGAGTGGAATACCCGGTGAGATTGCACACAAGTTCTTGAACCACCTGAAGCAATGCTTGGTGAGGGAGATTGAGACGTGCGGACTCGCAAGAGAGCGGACGCGCAGAGGCCTGCGTCGGCCTGAAAGTAGAAGGCTGCTGAAGGTGGCGAATATGGGCGCGATGCCATGGTGGACGAGGAGAAAAGGCAGAACCACAAGCGTTTGGTATGAAGGAGATTGCCTAGAGAATTCTGGGCAAGCTGACGGCAAGAAAAAGCGCCAGATAGTCATCTGTGGGAATCATGCAAAGATCATGAATGATGGGCCTGATGGCGCTCTGACATGGGTGATGCAGCAGAAACAGGAGCCAAGGCACGATTCTGTGTATGGCTTTGAGCCACTACGGAGTGAACTTGGGAGCTGCAGGCTGAGAGGAAGATGGAGGCCGGGAGGTGGATTGAGCCACGGATCAGTGGTGGTGCTGTGGAATGGCGCAGCGCTGGTACGGAAGTTTGAGGCAGAGTAGCCCTACGTTGTTGACGAGGAAGCGGAACAAATGGAGTGCGAGCGTGGGGGCCCTCATCCGGAATTCATCGAGGAGGCAATAAGGCTCTGTCAAGGCAAGGATTGGGGATGGCGAAGATCAGGATCACCTTGAATCAAAGATCCTGATGATGGTGGTGAGCATTCTGTCCATCATTCTCTTGCCTGAGGTCGGCACCACGGACCAGGGGCTCAACGATCAAAAGAACGGTGGGTGCAACCACTACTGGGGAGCTACATCGCAAAGGGGGACTTCTACCTAAGATGGAGGAAGTGACGGCTGGGCGCAACTCCCAAGCCAATGTCAAAACACAAGCTCTTTTGCCAAATCAAGTTTGCGCACACTGCACCTGTAAGGCGCAGCATAAGAAGGCATGCCTGTAATGTCTGAGCCGGAGACGTGGAAGTACGCGCAAACACGCAACAGGCTGTCCTGGGGCAACTATTCAAGAAACAAACAAGCAAACGGACTGCTCGTTGCCGCTCTGAGAGTCCGTAGCATTCGGACCCAAAGAAATCCATGGCAAGGGAAAGCGGAAGATCGCTGCACCTTTTTGCTGTCAGCTGAGTCAATGCCTCCAAACCTGAGAAACGCAACACAAAGCGACATCAAAAGTGAAAGCTCATGTTTTGAGGGCGCGGCGCTGCCACAACTCCGCGTCTGTGGGGCTACGCCAAGTTCCTGGGGGCTTTGGCGGCGACGGTGACTGGGAAGGCCAGGATGGCCGGGATAGCCGTGTCCCCGGAGGCTGCGCCACGTGGCGGCTCCGTTCACGTGAGGATCGCCGGCGGGACTGCGACCGCCTGGACCGCCGCCGGGAACACGGCCGCGCTGGCCGCGATGGCTGTCTGCGGTCTCGGCGATCTCCACCTCTCTCGGCTTGCCTAAGCTCCTTGCGAGGGCTCGCGTCGCTTGGGCGGGCCCACGAGCGCGTGTCGCGCCGGAGTGCTTCCTGGCGCTCCTCGCGGTGATCTACAACATCTCGTCCGACGCGCCTTGGAAAGCAAAATCCGTGCCGGCAAGAATGCGTGGGCGCGCGCGCGCGCCAGAATGCCTTTTTGTGCTCGTGTCCGCGCGTGCGCGTGTTGGCGTATTTGCGCGTGTACGTACGCGTGTGTGTGTGAATGTGTGTATGTGTGTATGTGTGTATGTGTGTATGTGTATGTGTGTATGTGTGTATGTGTGTATGTGTGTATGTGTGTATGTGTGTATGTGTGTATGTGTGTATGTGTGTATGTGTGTATGTGTGTATGTGTGTATGTGTGTATGTGTGTAT